CCAGTTTACTTTTCTGGCTTTGCCATGTCCCCAGCCTTTTCCTTCCCCAGGCGGTGCCTGAGCAGGATGGTTCTGCTGACAGTTCCTCTTCTCCAGACACTCCCTTGGAGTTACCAGGGAGTGTTAGGGACCTGGGGACATCACTTTGGGATTGTGGGAGGCTGCACAGCCTCACCGGGGAGGAAGTGCTCATTGCTACTGGTATGCTTGCCACAGCCTGGTGGTCTTGGTGAACTCTTACAGCACATTTTTGTTCATGGTTAATGCATTAATGGCTTCTAGAGTCCCTGCTTTCTTCCTCAGGGATTATGGCCTTTAGCTGCTCGCAGACTTCATCCTGGTAATCCATAATCCAATCAGATTTTAGTATGATCAGACCAAATGTTATCTAGGGTGGCCTAAATCTGATGTCCTGTTCCTTTAGGAACCATCAGTTTTCCATGTTCTGTCACCTTTAAAGATGCTCATGAGTCTCCTATTGCATGACCATAACTCATCAGTGTGATGTTGAGTATCATCTCAGCCATTATTTCAGTAGTCTCATTAACCTCTGGTCTTTCAACAAGAGCAATTTGGAGGAGTGTTGACTGGTTATGGTTATCTTCTGGTACAGGGGTTTGATTTAAGGTACCTAACTTTTCCATTCTTTCTGATGCCTGCTACTTCTGCTCTTCCATCTCGCCATTTCATGCTCCTCAACACCACTCAGAGCCTTGATAACAGCCGTCCTGCCCAGTTTATGCTGGATCTGACAGTGGGTCTGAAAGGCTACGGGATTTAGGAAGGACTCTCTAGCATGGCAATAGGATCCTCTATTCTTCAGGGCTTCCATTTGTCCCTCCCAGTCCTGATTCCTCTCTTCTATGTCTGTCTATAATTCCCATTGCCCTGTGGGTGGTCTCAACCCCTGAGTTTTTCTGTAGCTTTGGTGTCCTTCCTGTTTCTCAGAGGTGGTCTTCACCCTGCTGAGTCCTCATGTTCCTTGAGGAGTGGGGCCCTGTGGCCAAATTATTCTGCTCTGTAAAATTAAGATTTTCAGATATGATTGACAGATTATTTGCTGCTTCTTAGCTAACTATCATGAAACAACCCACAGCCTTTTCAGGTGATGGAGAGTCCCCCACCAGTTACTTCATGTTAAGCTGTATAATCAGCGTAGACCATCCCTTTACCCCAAACCAGCTTTAAGCATCATGTTTTCTGGGTAAGGGATTCAATGGATTGGACAGAACATCTGAGTAGAGAAAAACTGAGGGGAGGGAGGGATAGGGAAGAAAACAGTGGGAATTAACAACTCTTGAGAAAGGGGGTATAGGAATGTATTGAGTCTGGAAAGTCATGTTTCTGGAACAGTGAGTTTCAGTCTGAGGATGAACAGATGGCTTTTAGGAGATAGACAAAAGATCACTTGTTGAAAACAAGTCCTTATATTCTATAGGGTCATGTGTGTATATGAATTCTAGAAAGGGATCTGGAAAATTTTTAGGGATCCACAAACTGGAAAAAAGTAGAAGGCTGGTAAATATTCTCTAATAAACTGACGCGATTACAGACAACTGAGAGAAGCTGTATGTTCCATCACTGAAAGCTTGTAACGGAAGTCATACGCCAAGAGGGAAGACAATGTCATCATCACCCACTTGTTCCTTGAGAGGGTAAATAGAGGATTAGTGTCTGTGCTATCTGGGAAGTGCAGAAATCTGTCCCTGGGAAGCGGTGGGCTGCACATCTCTGGGAAATGCTTTTAAAACGTTAGGCAAAGTTCTCATCAGCCTTCAGAGAGAAAGCTTGTTCTCTTCCAGCCTTCAGAAATTCAAATAAAAGTGTAGACGTTCTCAAACCTGATAGCCGTTTCATGCGAGTTAGTAGACAGGCGGTGCCTCCTCTCGGGTTTGGCCGTTGGCGGGAGGCGCCGGCCGTTACGCGCGCGCCGAGCCCGCTGCCCCGCGCCCCGGGACGGCGGCTGCGGAGGCGCCGCCCAGCCCGGCCGCTAGGTGGCAGCACAGACACGCGCGAGAGCCGTTGCGCCCGTCGCCGCTCTAGGAAAGCCCCTCCATCCCTCCATTGCTTTCGGCGGCCCCGGGGAGGCTTGTGGCGGGGGAATGTTCACATTACTTAATGCAAAATTAATTAAAACCCGTAAGTGAGGAAATTTATATTATATTACAGCAAATTAAAAAAAAAAAAAAAAACAAACAAAAAACAACAAAACCAACAACAACAACAAAAAAAAAAACCACAACAAAAACAAACAAACAAACACCAGCGGTAGCATGTATTGTGCTGGAAACTCTTTCAGAATTCCTGAATTATCTTATTCCTTATCATTCTGAAGCATACCTGGAATTCAGTTATACTGACTGAACCAGCTCCTTTCTTGATGACATCTATAGGAACCCAAAGCCTAAAAGCTCTTCTAGAAAACTCCTGTTTTTATGCCACCAACCATCTCAGCTCATTGCCCGAGGAGCATAATATTTTACATTATTTTCAACTGCCATTCGAGAAACTCAGCAAATGCAGCAGACATTTAACTGACCCTCAGAATATAACAGTGACACTCCAACTAATTTTATTTTATTAATGGAAAAAAAATGAAGCAAACGGAGAGGAGAGCTAGGTTTTTTGTTTTTTTTTTTTTTTTTTTCAAACTTAAATGGCTCCCACCTTGCTTATTATCAATTTTGCGCTGTGTTGGCATAATGTCAGGTAAAGGAGAATCAAGTTGCTAATTGCATGACCGTAAGCCTGACAACTGTGCTGACATCCCAGTGCTTTGCCTGGTATCTTTGTGAGAAGGCCATGTTTGAAAATCATCACAATAATGAGGTGCCTGGTCTTCTCTATAGCAGAGCAAAACTCTCAACTTTCTGTGCTAAGACCTGATGGGGAAATTCTGAGTTTGTGTAACTGGTAATGTAACTGATATTCTAGAACATCTTCTGCTGTTAAACTGTGGAAATATTTTTTAAAATATGTGTTAATCATACCAAAGAGACATTGGTCTAGCATATAGGATTTTGGCAATCTTTATTTCAGTTTTTTCCCTAAGAAATAGCAAGGTAATAGATTAATAATTATTACTAACAATTATGAATACATATTTTTCCTTATTAATAATTTTACAGCTATATTAGGCTAATATAAAGCTAACTTGTACTTGACAAAATCAGGAGTAACAATCCGTATTGTTATGCTAATTTAAAACCACTCTATGGAAGTAAATTCAGCCCTAGCTCCTAGCTTTTTGGAGCACCTTTCCTCCCAGGCTGATTTCCCAGGTGACTGAGCTCATGTTCAAACTTGACGCTGGTCTCATACTGGTGGTCTTGAGAAGTGTTCTGCAGCAACTTTTGGAACCACTCCAGAAGGAGAGGAAGTTTTTAGTGTCTTTTAGGCAATTAGGGGCCACAACTCCTCTTGGAAGTTGTTGAGCACAGTGTGCCTGGTTATATTTTATTCCCCAGAAATTTGTCTCTTGCACAGGCAATGCTTCCCTTGTCACTTTGTGAAGTGGAAAAGCTACGTAACTGCCCACGGTGATACTACAAAACTATCTGGAAGAAAGGAAGGACATATCAGTTTACTTTTTAAAATGCAAAAGGCATTTCAGAAGACGGTATGAAGTAACACTAAGCAAAAATTTAAGAGACAGGTGGGTAATACAAAGTGTCACAGCAGTATCTGATCACTGCAAGCCTGGCTTTGTGCATTTGGCAGCATGGGACTAACGTTGTTTGATATAAAGGGAAGAGCATAAATTTTTAAACTATGTATTCTGCTTTCTGCAGAATTTTGGGTCTTCTGTGATAGTCTCTTCTCAAAATATTAATGTAAGCCAATGAGGATCACAGATCAAGGTGGAATGGCTGCAAGTGAGGCTAATGCATGCAGGTACTGCCAGCAACTCCAACAGCAGGCAAAACCATTTCTTTCTGTGCAGAGCTCCTTGGAAAGGAGAAATGCATAAACCTCTAAACTTTAGCACATGGGAAAAAAAGAAAACTATGTTCCTTTCTGGCACTGCCTCAGAAGCTACTCAACAGATGGCTGACTTTTCAATGTATAAACTAGTCAGGACAGATCTGTGTTTTTTTGGTTTATTTATTTATTTTAAAAAACTATTTTACAATTTCTAGTTCTTATTTCATTTCACATCCTCAGAGAATCAGCTGAAACTACTAAAACTTTTAAGGACATTAGCCTAGCAGAGTGAAAATGGCCAGAAAGCTACTCAGCCCAGCATTACATTTTCCTACCTAGAAAGGGGGAAGCTGGTCCGTTACTCCAATCAAAATATGGCAGAGCCTGGGAGTTTGGGAATAGTTATACCTCAGTCACAACCATTTCTAGATCATCTCCAAACACAGATACCACTGCAGCAGCATCATGGAGGCAAATCCAGTGTCTGACAAGAAAGCACTTACCTCTTGTTGATGCAAGCTCTGGGATGAGGTACCTCTGTGACAGCCCCTGATGGCTCCAGTGTAACTTCATGTAGTGAAATTAGGGGGAATCAATTTCTGAGCTTTACTGTGTTCTGCAAATCACTTGTCTGAGCTTTCCAATCTATTTAGGAATAACTGAAATGCGTTGCCTATAAAATTGAACAGGACTTCAGCACCCTACAAACCTGGCAGTTATCTATTTAACTGTAATTAACCCTAAATAATTTACACTCTTCTTTCTCTCACTGTAAACTAAGTTTTAAACCAAACAAAGTAATCAGGAACTTTATATTGTTGCCTATATATATATAGTCAGGTACCAGAGGGTCGAGTTAATTTACCAACAAGGTTCTTTTACTGTTAATCTGACCCATGCATACCAATCCCTGCACTCACTAGGGGATCAGATTTTGCTTGAACATTACAAACCTTTGGGATCAGTGTAGGTGCAGATGTGTAAGGGGTGGCCAGGCTTGTGTTTAGGAGGACAGTAATCCCAACAACAGCAGCTGTTACCACAGGTGAGCTGGAGGAAAGCACTATCACACTTTATTTTAGTATGCTACAAAATTAATTGTTGAACTTTATTAGGTTCTTTAATACCAAGCATACTTTAAAGTAACAAAAATTATTGTTATTAATTTTTACAGAAAATCAGGTATTTCAACAGTTTTCTTTACAGTTTGTTGACTTAAAAAAAAATTACAATTGACAAATTACAATGGAGTAGGATGGGAAAGCGGTAACATTTTAAAAAATAAACCATACTATTTATACTGAGTCAACATTCAGTGATGTACATCCTGGTATGCCTCTCCTTCTGACTGTGTACAAATGGTACATATTCACTGAGCTGCCCTGGCAGGGTTGTGAGGTCTTGTGATGACACTTTTTTTGCAACATTTGAGTATATTTAGAAAGGGCTTTTAGATTACACAGTCACCATGATGCAAAACTTAGTAGTCCATAACAAAATAATATAATACAGAGAAACTCTGTTTTGGTGATTTCTGATTTTTTTGTCGCAGCAAAAGTGCCATGATTGCCATAATGTGGGACAGAGGTAAACCTAAGGAGGAAATGAAGATGGTGATACGATAGCACATCCAGAGAGCAAACCCTTTCACAGGCTTCTGAGGTGAGAGTGTGGCTGTGAGCCCACAGGAGCAGTGAGTGAGAATGGGCTTCACCAAGACACTACTGAGCAGTGACTCCTGAATGCATCTGGCCCTTAAGGATATGCATTTTTCAGCTGACACTGGTTGGATTAATCACAGACTTAAAAAGCTGTCTGAAGTGGGACCTTAATGACTTTATGTAGCCTCATGTGTAAACCACTTGATTTTTACCTTCCATCCCCTTCAAGTCAGTAGCAAGTACTGGGAATATATTTATGGTGGTTTATTGATGTGGGTGGGGTTTTTGACCAGCTCTAACACTATTCCTGTAGAAGTTAGGGGAGTCTCCTACATGCAGTTATAAGAATGGATTTAGTTTAAAACAACATGTTTTTTTATTTTTAGTAATGCTGCCTGGATTCACACATAAATTTACTTGGCAGACATCCACATCAGCGTTCAGTCTCTAAGATAAGAAGTGCCACATCGGCACCTTGGTAATTAGATAGAAGAGTTACCTAATTCCCTGTACTTATTTATTTATTGACAGTTCGCTTAAAGCTAATTTTTCGTTCAAAAATAAAATTTTCTGAGATCCATGCACTAAATTCTGGAATAATTTGTGTTGTACAGCCAATAGTCAAAAAACAGTTTTAACTCGTGTTTTACTCATGTCTTCAGTATGTTATTTGGGATCAATATTAGCAACAAATTATTATTTTAGCCATTTCCCCTGAAAGCCAAAGAATGAAGCAACAGGCTTAAAAAAATCTGAAGAAATTAGCTTTGCAATCCTCATTTTGGGTTGGATTCAGCTGCGACATGCAGAAGAGGATGGAAGAAATGTAAGGAGCAGTATGCTCCTGCCCGCTCCTGAGCCAGGAGATGCGTGCCGCTCTGCAGGGTACTGGAGAGGAGCAGAGGGTCCTTGCTTCCCTCCGTTGCTCTGTGCCTGGCACTTGGCATTCAGGCCTTTCACTGTGAGGTCTTTCTTGATATCCTGTGACTCCCCGTTTTACTGCTCAGTGGCTTCTGGAAATGAGGGTGCCCTTTGGGGAGTGACCTGCCGAGCCCCCACAGAGGGAAACAGCAGCCCCACCAGTGCCCCGGGGCTCCATGCACCCAGCCCTCCCATAGCTATTTGCAATGTGTATTTGCTTATTAGTCTCTTAATTTATGTATTGAGTTTAAGGCCAGAAGGTATCATTAGATCACCTCACCTGACTGGCATTAGCACAGGCCAGAGTGTCACTCAGCGGTTATATGGCAGAACAAGGAAAAGAATAGAAACGCCCTTGTGGTGAGCAGCTGTATGTTACATTTAAGGGGTAAATGACTTTCTCCCATTAAAAAAGAAATCAAGTGCTTTTATTTTGTAACTTTAAATACAAATGATTCTATGTGTCTTGGGAAATTATAGTATTATGATATTCAGTCAGACATATCTTATAGTATATATGCTTCATAGAACTAGAATATAAGTCAGAAATAATTTTTCAGTCTTAAGTTTGTTACAGACATAGATTAATTGGAACACATATGCAGTAAAAATTGAGAAGCTTTACAGTTTTAATCAACTTATTATACAGTGAAGTAAATGAAGTGCAGCAATGTAGCGGTAAAAGTTATGCTTTTTCCACTAGGTGATGGAAACATTCAGAGAGTCTATTTATAAATGCTAATTTAAGAGAAATGTCCTATCAGCTTCTTGGCTACTGGGATAGGAATAGTCTAGTGTTAACTGCCTCTCTACTGTGAAAGGTTTTAAAGCTTTTTGCTTTCCGTCCGAATAAAAAAAATGACATTTACAAACCTCTTGAATGCATATATATTACATATGTTTATATAGCAACAACTACACCCCTTTTAATTTATTCCCCAAATGTGACTTTTCATGCATGTCTTCTGGATGCTGTATTCAGCAACAGTTTCTAATGAGCTGGTGTGTAATCCATGATTGCATTTCTCTTCTGAAAATCACTTCCACGTCTGGCTGATCTATGTTTAGAAGGTGGCGCTTACCCATCAGGCATTTTTGCACTCGTCAGCGTTCTTCTCTGTCGGAGGCCCTTTCCCAAGCTTCTTCCCATTTTAATGTTGATGTACAAAAGCTGTTATTCGTTTTGTTTTGTGCTCATTCTAGTGAGGATTGGCTTAGTAGGACTGTGCAAAACAGAGAGAAGAGAGAAGCTGGTTTACTGCCAGCAAACAAAAAGATGTTCACGCTGTGCTTGGCTCTGGACAAGCCTCTGATCAATATTCTAATACACTTCATTATTTGCATTTCAATTTATCATGAAAAATGACAAGTTTAATCTTCAGATATGACAAGGATTTGTAATCTCGAATTCTTAAAAATCAGTTTTCATCAGCTAATCGACATGGGAAGTCAAAGTAATGAGATTGTTTCATCTAAAGTTTGAACAATATGAAAATAAAGATACAATGTGTATAGGGCAAGAATGACATTTGCTAGGTGAGTATCATGAACTGAGTTAAAATCCTGACATTTCTGTTCCATATCAATAAGTTCTTTCACTCCGCTGAGCACACAATCCACATTTGTAAACAAGATAAAATAATACCTTGTGTTAAATTTCGAAGGGGCAGGCCCCAATGAGACCGGAGGTGTTTTCAACACAAACTCTCTCTTAAAAACTAACTCCCACCCATTCAGTTTCCATGTACTGTAGACAGAGCTGCACACGCAGGAGCACGGACACCGGCTGCGGTGGCACGAGGAGCAGGGTGACGAAGGCTCCCCCCTCCTCGCGGGAGGTGACTGCCCATAAGTCAGTGCTGGAGGGGGCAGCCCATGGGAACAGGGGCTTAATGAGAAGGTCTATTTACAAGTACCCACGTACACACACAAATATAAAAACCTGACTGCTCCAGTGTTTGGCATTGAACAGTAAGTTCTTGCACCAAATGAGCTCTGCAGATTCACCATGAGTTAAACTGTCCTGGATCACTGAGACCAAACCGTGAAGTCATTTGGCAGGCAACCTCCCCACTGCCTCCTGTGAAAGGGTCACTAGTCAGAGGTCCGACAAGCCTGCATGCTGGGGGGAGAGGACAGCCACCTTCATCGCAAACCCGCTCCCCTGATTGTAACGCGGGGGCCTCTGCAGGAGACTGCTGGAATGTAGAACATGGGGGAAATCACAATTTTTGTGAAAATAAAAGAGAATGAAATAATTTCATTGTGAAATGACAGTGAACTAAGAGTTTCAGAACTAGAAACTCTTAAAAATGTTACTGTAAGAAGTATTTCATTTCATCCCCCCATGTTACATGGAGCAGCCACCTTCTCCCATTCCCACCAATTCCTCACACGCCTTGACTCTCATGGTCATCTTGGCCTGCTGCTAATTCACCCACAGACACCAGGGAGAGTGACACCCTGGAGCAGAATGCCCACACCTGAGAGCTCAGGATGGGGAGCCTGGTAGCAGGTAACCCTTCTGCTGCAGACCCTGGGTGCCTGCTTCCCCCACCAACTTCCAACAAATTGACATTTTTCAAGCAAAGTTTGTTTTGGAGTAAAATTTCTGACTTGTTATAGCCCATGTGTTCAGCCTGTATCTGTAGTCCAGATATATTTTACAAAGAAGACACTTTTAATTGATGTTCCTGAGACTATTTCTAATAGCAAATAAGCTATGCGAGAAGCATAAAGTGAGCTAAGGAGGGTCCTGCAGAAGACAGATGGATCAGTTTTACTTTTGTCAGAAAATGAGTAAGAAATACAGCATTCACTGTGGTAAAAACATTTTAATGATGTGAGTATGTAATGGGGATGGTAGTTTCCAATTGTAAAAGAAAACTCGCTATTGGTAGTTCCGTAAGCTTCCTTTCTCCCTTTAAAACACGTAGCAAAAATTAAGGATAAAGAATGGATGAGAAATACACATATTTGTGATAAATAAAATACATTTTAAAATGGCCTGTGTTGGACATTTTGGTGTATTTTATTAATATGATTACTAATGTAATTAATGTGGTAATTATTAATATAGATTAAGTGGCACTACTAAATGAAAGAAAAGAAAAAAAAAAGTGCTTGAGCCTCCAATCTGTTTATTTGCTAAGTGAGATATGGGGTTTTATGAGCCTCTTAAACAATCCATAGTTGGTGAAACAAAGCCAGGGAAAGCCAAAGCTGCATGGTGAGGACCACATGCCCTGATACTCCTAAGAAAAATCTAAACTTAATAGAACTGAATGAATTTTAAATCATAATTTTGTGTACCTGTGTTATTCAAATCCTTAACAGTGCTTATTGGATTTCCAGCAGTACTCAGTGTTTCAGTTGTAACATACTAAAACCTTTATTAGTTCTTTAGACAAATTTTGCACACAGGTGTTATATACATGGAAATGAACTTTAATAAATGCCAGAGGTGCCTAGTTGATAAGGCAGAAATAAGTCCTTCACATCCAACATCTCTCAGTCTGCTTTGTATCACATCATAGGCTTTTGACTCCTTGAAGTTTCTTTTCTTAAGCTACTTAAAACCCTTTTCTAGTGCTGTTGCCTAGAAATCAGTTAATGAAAGCAGTCTTCGTGAAAGCCATATTACTCAAACCACCTAGGTGCTCTGCTGTTAAATTCTCTATTTAAAGTCTTGAAAGGCTGCCTGTTAGGCTGACATCCTGACAACACAGTTATTATTCATATTTGACCTATTCAGTTAGGGCAGTCACTTCTGTTGACTGCAGAGCTGGGGTACAGTCAGCCTGGGGGGGTTTACAGCATTTTAGTGTTTATGTACATTTTCAGAGAGAGGCCACTGATATTTCTTTGTTTTGAAGGTGAACCACGGGGAGATTTCCACATTGCTACCTGCCAAGATATAAAGCATGTACTGAATTTCAGATAGTCCCTTACATGCTCTTACTGTAAAGGCAGTCAGACTGATAGTAAATATACAAAGGCAGATGTTCTAGGTCTGAATATTTATTTTCTCCAACAATCTTAACACTTCACACCATTAATTGCCACCAGCTATACCTACATGATTTTCTTTGCCATTTATTTGACTGTCATCTAGAAAATAACACATTTCCAGGAGTTAATCTTTTATTGCTGCCTCCAAACACACACAATTACTGAGCTAAACAGCAACTGACATTCGTGGTCACACCAAAATTGGTGCTATTGCAAAACCACATCAGCTGGCAGAAACCCATGGGCTAATGAAGCACCAGAGATTTCTTCCCAGCACCTCCACAGTATTCCTCTAGCCTGGAGAGCAACGTTATCTCTCTTGAATGCTGGTGCTGTGTTTGGTATCTGGGGGGAGATGAAGGTGCAGAGAAGCATTGCTGCAGAAGGTCTGCAATTGAAAATAGACATGCTGTGGCACCTTGGACAACACTGCTGCCTGGGCAGTAGGCCAAAAAAATTTGAACAAGTTCAGTTTTAATGAGGTGCTTGGAGTTCTTGCCTTTCTGCTTGCGATCTGGGTCAGCTCCTCGTAAACACAGGTAGATGGTTTTGTTGTTTACATCAGGGTTGGTGCAACGCTAAGTGTGTTAAAACTCCACTTGCAGCTACTGCACTCCAAAATTCAAATAGCAACATGCATTCAGAGCCTGGGTAATATCCACATGTGTGTCATTAAAAGGCATGAAAGGCAGTCAGATGCCCAGCTGCACGGGGCAGCCAGTAGAATCTTCAATAAAATCTTATTTAAGATATTCCCTTTAAAAATATAACAAATCCTATTTGAGTGGTCTGAGAGAATGATTTTGTTTTCCTTGTGATAAGAGAGGAATAATGTGTATTCCCATTTGCCTTTAATTGTGTATTGCCATTTGCCTACCTGCTGTGGGTGCCTTTTCCCTCTTGATGCACCGAACACCCTTTGCCCTGGCCTCATTGCGGGGTGCTTATGCATTGTCAGGAGGGCCACCCCGGTGCAAATACTGCGCTCTCAATAAAGAGCCAGGCATCAACTCAGGTCCTCTCCAAACTCATCAGAATCCCGGTCATCCAAGCTGAAACTCCAGCATCTGTTTTGGAGATTCTGTCCACAGATTGTCCTGGAAGCAGCTGTGTGGCCAGGGGACGAATGAGTTGTGCTCTCTGGTGCCTACCCCTGCACTGCAGTTTAGACACCGTAATGAGGGAACAAGGCTGCCCTGTGGAGACGGAAGGACGAATGGACAGAAATTCCCCAACCGTTCTGCTAGCAGCCCTCTTTCAGTGTTTCACTGTTCAGCATCTTCTCAACAAAACGTGATAAATGACCTGTCCACGCCAGAGCTGCCTAAGCACGTTTCCTCCTCCTCCTGACAAACCAGCAGGCAGGATCTGGCAACTGCCTGCTCTGCTGTCACTCATGGCTACCAAAGGCTACCTGAGAGGTCGGGGGTTAAAGAGAGTACACAGCAAACCTTGAGGAGTTACTAAAACTTTTACAAAACTTTGGGATTGAAACTGTGTGTCCATATGGCATTAGAGGAGAAGCTTGTCTCAGCAGAAGGGTGTGTGAGCTGGCTCTTGCTGCAGCACTTCCTTGCAATGAAATAGAATTGAATCACATAAAAAAAGACAAGGTTTTTATGAATTTGGTATTCAAGCCCTGTGAAACCAGAATTGAGTGGAATGGTGGGACTTACTCAATTTGCTGGGTGGTATTTCATGCACCCTGTTAGTGGCAGCAGCTGAATGCCTGGGCATGGGCTGTAGGAATTGTTTCCAAGGCTGTAGGAAATGGTTTCAGGAGCATTCAAGAATTTTCTAAATGTCTGTCAAAAGGTGGCCCAGGCTGTTTTTCAGGCAGAAGGCTCAGTTCATGGCTGCACAAGGGCATTCCTAGCATCTGAGAAGACAGTTTCAGGGCCACAGGGGTGATGATGATCAGAGTTAACCACTGAACAGACAGAATGCTATTTTATTAGACATCCTTTTTCAAGAAGATACAGAAGAAAAATGGCTGAAGGATCCAGTCAGATCAATTTTGCCAGGCTCCTGGTATCTGTGTACATCACACAGCTGGACAGACCTTTGCCATCAACAACCTGTATACTGTCATTCACAAGAAAAAACCCAGCATGTTGGCAGACCTAAAGCTACACGCCCTGCACACTTAATGGTCCCAGTGACTGCCCTGCTGGCCAGATCCTGCCCTTCCCTGCCAGACTGGCCAATTATT